TCCAGCAGCAACCATACGATTTCAATGCTGCCATTGGGGCGATAGGAACTTGCTGCGGCCTGCAACGGGCTCCCATATTTTGAGCCTGTTGCATTCACGTCCGCGCCACGCTCGAGCAGGAGCTTCACCGTGTTCATGTTTCCCCACTTGGACGCTGCCACCAATGCACTCCCGTATTCTCCGCCCCGTGCATTCACATCGGCACCGTTGTTGAGCAGGATTCGGGCCACTTTCACACCTTTGTCTGTAGTGCAAGCAGCCTGCAATGCACTCCCATATTTTCCGCCCGTTGCGTTCGCGTCGGCGCCGTTATCCAGCAGCACCTGCACAATATCGATGTTGGAGATGCAGCGGGAAGCAGCTGCGGCATGCAACGAGTTGCCGTAGCGTTCGTTGGTTGCATTGACATCCGCGCCGTGCTCGAGTAGGAGGTGCACACTCTCTGTGTGGCCTTCCGAGGATGCGGCACTCAAAGCGTCGCTGTGTTTCCACCCCATATTCACGCAGGCCCCTTTCTCGAGTAGGAGGTGAACAATCTCTGTATGGCCTTTCCCCGATGCGATCGTCAAAGCGCTCGCGCATCCTCCTCCTGTTGCATCCAGGTCAGCACCCTTGTCTATCAGAAGCCGCACGATGTCAGCGCACCCCGCCTCGGATGCGGCCCGGAGAGGATTGTTATGGCTTCCGCTCTCTTTGTCTACGTCCGCGCCGTTCTCGAGGAAGAGCTGTGCCGTTTCTATGTGACCCCTGAGGGACGCGACCCGCAACGCAGTACCATCTTCCCCGCCCACTGCATCGATGTTGGCACCGTTTTCAAGGAGTATGTGCACGATGTCTGTGCGGCCTGTACTGGATGCACTCTGCAAGGCCGTACCCCAGTGCCTGCAATTTGCGTTCACATCAGCACCGTGCTCGAGGAGGAGCTGCACAAGGTTGAATTGGCCGGTCCCAGATGCGAATCGCAATGGACTGCCGTTTAATCCGCCGCGCGCATTGACGTCGGCACCATTCTGGAGCAGAAGTCGGGTGATGTCCATATGACCATACTCGGATGCCACCTGCAGGAGGGTGCCGCTCGGGAGCTGTAGGTTGATGTCGGGAGTATTCGCCAGGAGCGCACGCACTCCGTCAATATACCCTTCCTGGCAACACCAATGTAGAGGCGATGTCGGGCGGAAGTCTTGGTTTCGCTTCATCCATATCAAAACACTGTATTGTGGACTCCCGTCCTCCAGAAGACGCATTGCCCCGGGAAACAAGACATTCCGGTCATGGCATCGTAACAGGTGGTGACACCAATTTCGAGCTGCATATGAAACCAGTGGATACTCCCAACGACGTGGGGTGTGATCGACGGAAGGATCAGAAAAGTGTAGGAGATAGCCGATGCATGTCCGCGCAATAAAAGTATGCGACAGGCTGGCACTGAGATCAGGGCCGAATTTATGAGTGAATTGCCGAGACATGATGTAATCCTGGACCGAAGCATGAGCCAGGGTGACCGTTGAGCCGGAAGCAATGACTAGTCCTTCCAGCCACGTGAGAATGGCAACTGTGTTCCCCTCGCGTCGACTTGGATCGTAAATATACTGTGTTGGATCGGAGAAATCAAACGCAACAGCGTCAGCGAGCTCATTCAGAGAAAGGCCGTGGGTCGAGAAAGCAAGCCAACGGAGGACTCCTTCAACATAGACAAAGTCGTCTGGATGAATTGCCTCCAGGAAGCGGTTGTAGATTTCGAACAAGTCGCTGGGAAGATTATCGAGGATTTTGTTTAGTCCATCTGGATTTTGCCACCGGCGAGTTATTTCAACTAGGAGACATGCTGCCAACCGGAACCTACATGGGAGGTGAATTATTCCAAATTGCAACCTCGTGAAGAACAAACTGACATTCCATTGCTCTTCTGCACGACTTTCTCAGTTATGTAGTCTGCTTGAGAAGCCCAAACCCTCAATTTGGGCTTCTGAAGCTCAGCGGAAACGAAGAGTCTAATATCTTTCTCGGTCACATCTGCCTCGAGAACGATGCGTGTTACATCCCAGAAGTGTTCCGTAAATATGTTCCGGGGTTGGCTCGTAACCAAGAGGTGCAATGGGGTTTGGGTCCACCCTCGGAGCGTATCAATGAAGGCTAGAAGTTGTTCGAGATCGCTCTCTTGACACTCATCAAGTGCATCAAGAACGATATATGTGCGTCCGAGCTCCAAGAGGAGGTCTGTAACGACCTTCAGAAGGTCTTGAAAAGTTGGCAAGGTCTGTCCGTTCGATACGCGGTACTGCTTGTCAAGGACCCTGTAGAGATTGGGAGATTGCGCGGAAAGCTGCAGAGAAATGCGCTGGAGCGCTTTCTCCATAGCGTGGCCTGTATTGTCTTTGAAATCGAAATAGAAGAATGCAATTGCAGGAGGATCCGGGGAGTTTTCCAGATTCATAAATAGTTGTTTGTCAACAAGCAGTTTGCTGATGACGGTGGAGCTATTGGATCCAAATTCAGCAAAGGATGGGCAGACGATCAAGAGCCTCACCTGAGCACACTCTTCCCGGAACCCGCTACGTCGTATTAGAAGCTGGGAATCATCGAAAGAGATAATGGCTTACATGGGCCCTGAATCCACAATGAACTTGGGTTGTCTTGCCATTCAATGAAGGTTTCGCCCTCAAGGAGCCAGAGCCCAGTCCGGTCCTTCCGAAGCTTCTGTGTGTCGAGTTGTTTTTGCTTCATGTCGGGGGGTGATTTAAGCCATTTCTCCAGTTTTTCTTCGAGGCTGTTTTCCGTCAGCACGGGATTGTTATCTAAAAAAGAAGAGATTACTGACACAATATCGTGAACCTCCTCCAGTGTTCGTGCGTTCATGCTCTGGTTTATCGCAAGATCCACCAAACGGTTGGTCTAAGAGGGTATGAGCGCGGAACTTGACGGACGGTCCATCCTCACTCTAAACCTGCTTCCGAATGAGTCGAGTTTGCGATTGAGGGCCTCGAATGTGGTCCCCAGCTCGTTGCGGGCTGCAGCACGACTGATTGAGCCTTGGTTATTATAATCTGTGATGCATGCAGAAGCCTTAGCGAGTAATCTTCATCAATCGAATAAGATGTACGAAAATGATGAGATGTAGAGGAATGGACCTGGCGTATGCTTCAACATCTGCCTTGAGCCGTCCGATAAGGTCCAAGTGATTTGATGCCTCCATCCGCAAGATGGTACCACAGAGATCGCGGGTTAAATCGGTGATATTCGCGAGAAGGGCATCCCGTTTTTCATTCGTATCCTTCACTTCCTATTACGGGAGAGCCCTTAGATCAGGCCGAAAGCCGAGTATGAACACACCTTGTAGACTTTGAGAATCTCGGACATGAGGGCGGCAGCGGGTCCGAGAAAGGGTGCCCGTTCGACGACATTGGCAACCTGCTGGACAAGTCCGAGGACAACGGTGATATTATCGATCGCAGCCTCCGCTGAATTCGATTGGGTGGATGTAGATGTTGATGGGAGGAGGTTGTATACCCAATTTCTGAGGCGGTCTCGGCGGCGGTCTGACATAGTGGTGGGAGGTGGGGACAAAAGGCGTGCGAGCAGCGACTCTTGTACGTTGTCCCCGCACAGCCCGAGAAGATAGTGTTCTGAATCAGCTGATGGGGAAGACAGAACTGCCTGACACTAGCCGCACAGCTGATCAAGGCTGTTCAACGGTCGCCCTCGGCTGCAAAGTGGATGCACAACCAAGAACAAATGAAGCACAAGGCTACACAGACGAATTCCCGTCGCGAGGTTGGAATCCTGTTGGTTACCGACTGCACAGCAACAAAAGAACGCCAGAAGAAAGGCCAGGGATAGACCCGATAGAGTGGGCGAGGTCAAGAGGCAAGAACGCAGAGATGAGGACGTGGGCTACGATAATCGAGCTTGACGTCCAGAAGGAGCGGGCATGTAAATAAGAGCCAGGTGCGAAGGAGAGATTGGGGAGAGTTTGCGGAGGAAGGACCATCTGACATCCGTGGGTTCGCGGCGTACAGCCTCAGTGCGTTTGTTAAGCGTGAAACGGCAATGCCTGAGAAAAAATCGTATGAAAATTCTTGAAAGAAATGAGAGGAATAGTCAATGAACGAGCATCGAGGAGAACACGTAGGAAAGGAAATAGGGTGGTATGCCCCGCGTCCGAAGTTAGAAATAGAGAACACGGACAAGCGCAGAGGTCCTCCTTCTCTTGGCCCTTCCGGTTCTGACTACTGGCTGGAACGCTCTTGATGCCGAGTGTGGGTCACGGTGCGACATCTGAGGCGTGTTGTGCCTCGGTCTCTGCCTAAACCGATGGCGACGACGCGGACGAGGAGGGGAGCGCTGCGAGGGAGGTCGGCGGTGCAGCATCTCTGTTGGACTTCGCAAGCCCGTTTCTCCCGTTCTCATGTCGATTCTAGGTCCAATGATCGAAGAGCAGGAGAAGAGAAAAAAGGCGAATGATATCGGGGCGGTGCCCCGGCCCGGGATCTACCCCGACCATCAAAGCTATCAACCAATCACCAGGAGTTGCCTGATTGGGAACTTTTGTGACGCTCCCATTGTCTGCCATGCGAGCCACCCAGGACGCGTTTTCGACGCGTCAAACCGTGCCTCCCTCCCACGGCAAATATCTCTTCAGGAATTCCTTGACTACACGTTATTCGACATGGCACCGCGAAATTTCGAAATTGTGGCTGTCGAATCACCCCCAAGCCTACAAAAAAGAATGCGCTTCGCAGCTTACACTCCGAAAATTGTCTCTTGAGCAAAAAATAAACCTCCGATGAATACTCGGAGGGCCCTTTCCGACATCCCGATTAAAGATCAAGTTAATACTTGAAGATACATTTCATTGCGACACTTGGTCCCTTTGCTATCGAATTGGCGCCTCCCATGTGCAGCTTTTCCTGGCTACAAAACAAAACAAGAATGTCTTACACCTCGGTGGCGCAATATGTTTTGGGGCCGGGCATAAACAAGGGTGGAGAGTGGAATACTTAGGACCTAGCCTGGATTCGAACCAGGGACCGTCTGCTGCGCTTCAACGTATATTCTGCACTCCATGCAGGTGCGGCGCCTCCTGCCACTAGGTCTCCTTCAGTCTGAATTGGCACCTCATATATGCAGCTTTTTTGCAGGCGTGATAGTAAGCAAATGCCCTCTGCATGGGCTCGACCTAGCCTGGACGCAACACAGGAGTCCCTGATGAATTTTTCCATTTTCTTTCACAGGATGCAGGGGCGATGTCTTGCACCGCCAGGTCTTCTTCGTTCAGATTTCACCCTTCACATGTGCGGGGCTTTCGCAGGCGAGAAGATAAAATGTGGTTCTCGTACAAAGAGATGACCTACCCCGGAGTGGAACCTTTCCTCTAAAAATTAACATCTCACATATCCAGCTTTTTTTCCCGGCCCGCGATAAAAATATCTCTTCCATTCGCGAAACACGACCTAGCCTGGACTCGAACCTGGATTCCCTTCGAATAAGAACATTTCAATCCCAGATTAATAATTGAAGGTGCGGTGGCTTCCGCCACTAGGTCTCCTTCCCTCTGACTTGGCCCTTCATAGGTGTAGTTCCTTCCGACTAAACTCACCCTCATGCCTGCAGATTTTCGTGCAGGCGAGATAGCCAAAGAAACAGAAAAATACTCGATGCAACACGTGCACGACCTAGCCTGGATTCGAACCAAGACTGCGTGCAGAAACTTGTCACCCCGCGCTCGACGCAGGTGCGCTGTCTTCCACCACTAGGTCTCCTTTTCTCTCGTTTCTCCCCTCACAGATGCAGTTATTTCGAGAGGCAAGCTGACTAAAAAGAATTACACACACGATTTAGCTACGACCTGGCAGGATTCGAACCAGACCTCGCTCGAATAATCGTCTCGGATATGGTACAAACCGAGGGTGCGACGCCTTCCACTAACAGGTCTCATTGCCTGATTTTTCCTTTTGTGCATGCAACTTTTGTGGCAGGCGAGATAAAAGAAATATCCGCCCCGAATGCATGACCTAGGCTGGACTCGAACCATGACCTCCCTCGAATAGCGTCTGAACGTCCTCGTAATAATCGGTGCGATTCCTTCCGCCACTAGGACTCCTTCCTATGGAACTCACCCCTCACATGTGCAGCATTTTGCAGGCGAGATGATAAAAAATCCTATTCTCGCGCATGACCTAGCCTGGACTCGAACCAGGGTCTCCCTTCAAATGATCGCTGTCCGTTTTGTTCAACAGGTGAGGGTGCGATTCACTCCGCCACTAGGTCCCCTATCCTCTGGATTCTGCCTTCATACATCCAGCAGTTTCTACAAGCGAGCTTATATATATATATAAATCTGGTTCGCAAAGTGGTCAGGGACCTAGCCTGGAGTCGAACCAGGATCCCCCTTCACATAATAGCTGTCTTGCGTAATAATCGAGGGTGCGATTCTGTTCGCCACTAGGTCTCGTTTGCTCTGAATTCGTCAGGATCCCCCTTCACAGGAAGCTCGCTTTGCCTTAATAAACGAGGGTACGATACCTTTCGCCACTAGGTCTCTTTTCTATCGAATTGACCCCTCTTATATTTGCCATTTTTTGGAGCGGGATGAGGGGTGGTGTTGACTCAGGAGCGTGGATCAAGTTCTGCTTCTGAATCAGAAAGGAAGTTCACTTGTGAATTATTTAATTTGCAAATAAATAGCCCGTAGCAGTAACAGCGAGCGGAATCCACTCATTCAGCTTGCTCACCGCCTCGGCGGCGGCCCATCGACATCGAAGATCCACCCCTTCGCGAAAGCTACCTGTATGGCATCGTAGAATACCTTCCCCATGCGCGCATACGCGTCGTCGTTGGGGTGCGTGCCGTCTACCAAATCGCCCACCGCGACGACCGCGTGGCAGTCCGCCAACACCACGGAGCGCCCCGCATTCACGAAGTTCGCCACGACGCCCGGGAGCGCCGCGTTGTACGCGTTGATCCGCGTGTTAGCGTCTGCGTTCGCGTTGGGCGGCAGCGTGGCGAGGACGACGAGCGTCAGCGGCGACGCGTCGAGCACATTCTGTATCAGGGTGGACAGCCGGGCGGGCGCGCCCGCGGGATCGATGTTCTGCAGCATATCGTTCGTGCCGACGAGCAAGGTCACGATGTTGGGCCGGTACACGGGCATCGCGGCGATGCCCTTGTCGTTCACCTGCGTGATGACGAAGCCCGGGTAGCCCTCATTGTCCGGGTCGAAGAAGTCGCCGCCCTTCTGCGAGCCGACCATGTTCACGGTGTTGCCGTCCGCGGCGAGGAGGTTGTACAGGTCCTCGCGGTACCCGTTCCCGTCGCTGCTGCCGACGCCGAACGTGATCGAAGCTGAACATAGAGTCACTGGTTAGCACGAGGCGGGCTGCACTGAGAATATGCGGGACGCACCACCGAGGGGCATAATTCGAGTGGTCTTCCCGGAGAACCCAGCGTACGCGCTGCAAGTGTACATGGGAACTTCTTGGAAACTGGCATGAGACACTGCGTTCCGGGGGCCCGGAGACAGACCCCGTGTCCCTTGATCGCCGTGTGCCGAGACGTCTCGGCAGACAGGTTTGTCTCCCTATACCGATGCTTCGCCGCCGTCACCTCCACAGACCCTTCCTCCCTCTGCCTACACGTCGCGACACATGGCGGCAAACCTCACCCCACTGCCCACCCTCTGTCAGGCCTACCTACACCCTATCTATGCACTACCAAAGGCCGCGCGTGATGTATTACGACACCAATGAATTCACAAAGGCTTAAACTTGACATTTGAGGATTCGCCAGCACCAACCCTGCGCTTCGCCAGACAATGCGGCCATGGTCCGTCTTGTTGAGCCGCTCCCTCAACGCCCACCATCTCGCTACCCAAAAGCCATGCACCGCCGCGGTGGACCTGACTGCCACGACCGCTGAAGACGGCCGGTCTGACAGAGACGTAGACACAGAGGATGGATGATCTGCCCTACGTACCGCCAGAGACAATGGCTGGGAGCCTGAAGACATGGGATGGTGTACGGCGTCTCTATCCGTCCGGGTGCCGCTTCCCGTCGTCGTACTACAAGCGGAAGTCACCAAAACTATGGGGATATTCAACATGAGGGACAAACCTCCTAGTGGTGGTATGTAAGCGAGGTACAAGTTCTGTATGAGGTTCAAACAAAGCAGCAATGTTCAACCAGAAACCATGCCTGTCAACAGAGGGTATTAAAACATACCTACAATCACAGGTGTGATTGCACAATGTGCATTTCAGTATGTGGGAATCCTACTGGACGTCGTTAGTGGGCTCTGCCGCAAAGCGCGGTACAATTGTTATGACAAGAAGGGTTCGGCCAAACCCGGTAAGTTGATGCACATCACTCGGAAAGCTCCGGCGTCTTTCTTCTTCTTCTCCCACATCCCTCCGCTTGCCTTTCGCCTCTCCTAGCTTGCCCCAGTGTGCCAGCAAGTTCTTCTTTCGCACCTTGGGCGAGACCGTGACCATTGGACTCGATCGCAGTTCGCTCTGACGATGCATGCAGCATGGTCTGGTTCGATTCCAATTTTATTCGCTTTCTGTGGACATGCATGCAGGTGGAGCTTGTCTTGGAAAAATCCACTCCGAACTCGTCTGTACACTACGGATGAGAAGGCCTTCGTCGTTAAAAGTCACTAGAACACAGGAATCAATTGCATATGGTCTGCAAAACAATCAGGCAGGCGTCCTGTTCAATTCGGGGTTGGGTCGCCCCTCATCGAATCCTCCGCGCTCACGGTCACCGCTGAAATATTTTCTCTCTGGTCCCATGTTTTATGTTCGCGAGTCGCTGCGCCCATATCTCATATCCTGCACTCCTCCAACCACGGCCCGGGTGCGCTTGACATCCTGCGGCGTCGCGGTGTATGCGCACTCGTTCGTCGTCGAAGCGTGCACGCATTCCAATCTCGTGTTCATAGTTACCTTCGGCTTCCTCCGCCCGCTGCAATCTCTTCTCTCCTCACTCATTTTCGGTATGGCTTGTCTCTCGGCCGTTGCATGCTATAGAACACTGGCGAATCGCGCGGAATTCGGTCCCAAACGACACCGGTTTGCCTCCAGTACCCTCCTCCGTTGCCCTACGCATTCCCCCCGGTTGGCTTCGAAGTAACCATGTCTCCTGCAGAAAGTTTCATTATCCTTTGCTCTCATGCTGGCGCGGGACAATTTATGTGCGATTTCTTTGAACCATCTCAAATTTCGTGGTCCCGACCTTCAGCATGGCTTTTGCGTGCAAACTCTCCGCTTCACTCGTTTCTTGCTTCTGGAGCGGCATGAACTGGTGCGCCATTCTTGTGCTCCTGCTGCGTGTCTGATGGGACTGCCAAGAAACTACGGTCAACGAGGCCCTGCTATCATTCGAGTTTCGGAACAACAAGGAGGGAGAACAAGACCCGTGTTGGTCACTACTTCACCAAATTTATCTGCTGTCGTGTCCAATTAAAGGAGTGATCCCGTTCGGTTTGGGAGCGGGTCGTGATAACTCGTGACAGATTCTTTATTTGAGAATCGAATGGGTGACCTCACAAACAGAATTTGGCAGAGACTTTATTCCACTATCGCATAAGTGGACAGGGTCGTACATGCTGTCCGAGGTCGTTGCTGAACGCTTGGTGCGTTTGTGTCCTTCTCCCTGTGCCCAATACGGCAATACCACAACCTTTTTTTAATATAAGACGGGCGGTTTTTCCAGCCCTAACTGAAATTTGTTTATCCAAGACACAACTTTGTTTTTGTTTTCCTCGGAACCTCTACTGCTCGATTTTCGCACCGATCTCATTCCAAAACGCACAGCGCGTATCCTCATCCACGGGGATCTCCTCCACATGCGTGTCGTTCAGCACGAACTTGAGCCGCCGCTGGTTCGCGTTGAACTGCACCCACTCGGGGGTGCCCGCGAAGCGATAGGGGTTTGGGTTGAGCGAGCGGATGAAGGAGATCCAGTAGTTCATCACGACGGGCACGATCGGCGCATTGGTCGTGGCAAACGTCGTGCTGCTCCCGCCCGGGATGAAGGTGGGACCGAAGATCGCAGGAATCTAAAAGAAAAAACAAAGGTAAGACTCAGACGTTCACAAAGCAACTGGAGTAGCCCACATACCTCACTCGTGTGCGGCACACCTAGGCCAGCCGCCGCATTGTCCGCCTGCACGACGCTAAAGCGATAGTTCCATACCGGCTGGCGCACCCGGTTGATCTGCGCCGCAATAAAGTTGCTCGGGCAGATGAACGTGCTCTCGCCATACGCAGCTGCCGCAGATGGAAAGAATGGCGCGTGGTTCTGGAGCGGCGGGCGTAGCGGGTACAGCTGTGTGATCCGCGTGTCGTCAGCGGGCGTGAGCTGGGGGTAGTTATCCATGAGGAAGGAGATGACCGCGTCGGCGGTGCTGGCGTTGGCGGCAAAGAGCGTACCCTCGTCGTCGTCGTCACCGATCATTGTGGGTACCTAAGAGAGATGAATCGGATGCCTTGTAACGAAGACATGGCACACACCCGAATGAATTTTCCCTCCCTGAAAAGCGTATATAAGTGATCCTGGACAAAGTCTCCGTCGATCGTCGGTGTGTAGAAGACATCGGGATTCGAAGCGCGGCCCTGGAAAGGATGCGCAACATTCGCGGCCACGAGCGTGGAGGTGTTTTGCGCCCGGAGGCAGGCTATTTGGTCGGTCACATTGATGCAGCCGGCCGCAGCGGCGAACAAGTCGAACTGGAACTCGAGCTCCGAAACCGGTGCTTCACGCGGCCAGAAGACGGACTCTCCAATGGCGCCGATGAAAAGGCCTGGGCCGAAAGTTAGAAGGCGGCTATGGGTGAAGAACTGTCCACGCACCATCATTGCGCCCGCCGAATGCGGTCAAATGATGGATTACAGAGCCGCCGCCTGCAAGGAAATATGAGACAAGGGCAGCCAGAGATGTGGCTGAGCAAACCTGCAGAATCGCCGTGAATGACAACATGATTGGGATCACCGCCGAACTAAGGGGGTTCCAATGAGCATAAACAGACGGGAGAGAATAAGAATCGCATTCCTTGGAAATATATTTTTGAACCCACAGCAGCGCCTTCCGCTGATCCAGCAGCCCGACATTCAGCGTCCCGTCTTTAACAACTCGTTCGCTCGCAAGAAATCCAAAGGCTGAGACCTGTAGGTTTGTTTCAGTCGCTATACAGTATGTTCCCAAGGGTACCAAGCTCACGCGATAGTTGAAGTTCACAACCACAATATTGTGCCTCGACTCCACAATGAC